AACCAGATAATACACCTTTGCAATCAGAATGTTAAGCAGATTAGGATGTGCATACAAATTGGTGTTCCCATCAAAATATTCTTTAACAGTTAAAGACATAAATGAAGATTAAAAAAACAAATTTTGAGTGTCTGTATGTTTTGCTGGGTGGAAAAGGATTAAAACACCCAGAACATGAAAGGTATTAAGAATGTGGAAGGCACATTTCTCTACCTAGAAAAGTTGAAGAAATAAACTACCACTCTCTTCACCAGGCGATCTAATAGGAATCTCTTCCCAGTTGTAATTCTATAGTCTTCTGGTTTAGCAGAACTTTTACTATGAGAAAAGTTTGACAAAGTGTGTAAAGGCCTTTTTTTTATGCCTAAGAATTATACCAAATACGACCACGAACTTCTGTACTATGACTTTTGCATCAAAACCAGACAGAATTTGAATACCACAATTTTTCCATTTAGAAAGAAACTGTTGCCCAGGTGTTGTAGGGTGTTCATTTTACATAATTGTGATCACTTTTCACTTGCTTCTAGAAGATATCAGAAGTAGAAAGGCAACCTACAAAGACTTCCAACTACCATCCCACCCCCTCCCACTCCATACCCCCACATGCACTCCTAAGCTCCTCCTGCAGATTATCTAATAGATCATCTCCTTTCTACTTCTGATGTTTCAGAACAACATTCTAACAAACATTAGACTTGCCTAAGTTAAAAAGTTTTTTTGAAGATCATTTGCAGTAGAAATAAAAGAATTTACTCAATGTAGATATTTTATAGGTAACTTTGTGATGGGCCAAACTACAAAATTCAGAAATGATCTTCACAAGTTGCAAAATGTTATGCCATAATAAAATTCACCATTATATGTATAAACATATCCTTAGTACAGTGGAAAGGGTAAGCACTTTCTTTGTATTAATAACATGCAAGTGATAATGAGAATCATTTAAACCAGATGGTCAGCAGTGGAGAGAATTACTAATATAGTGTATGAGGCGGTATGTGTATAAAGACCCTTTACAATTAATTCACTGAGTCTTGTAAATTTCTTTATCAGCAGAGCTAAATGAATGAGTGGGTTACAGAATAACCTATGGAACATAAAACAAAAAGCACTATAAATGTTATCTATGCAACTGTTACAACTATAAAAAGTTAAGCAGACAAGAAACAGGACTAAGAATAACATAATCAAAGAACGAGAGTTTGACTTTTGTGTGGTGGTGGGATCGTAAGTGAATTTTTTTCTTTCATTTGGATTTCTATTAATGTGGTCTGGGCAATAAATAAAAATTAGTAAGTAAAATGGCATTAATTAAATCAGTGTGGTGCTGGCATTAAGAACAGACAGATCAGTGAAATAGAACAGATAGTCCAGAAACAGACCCTGGCAGAAGGACTTAGTATGTAATAAAGCAGGCATCACAAACCATGGTGGAAGAGGAGTAGGAGAGAGGATTTATTTAACAAATGGAATTAGAGCTACTGATTAGCTGTTCGGGAAAAAATCCATTGTGATTCTCACTCATACACCAAAATAAATTTCATACGGACTGAAAATTTAGAAGCATTAAAACAGAAAGCCTAGAAAAAAATCAAGGGAAGTAGTTCCGATTTCTGGATAGAAAATATTTAAAACCGTGGCAGAAATTACAATGAAAAGATCAACAGATTAAAGCCATAAAAACTAAACTTCAGGCTCAGCGCCTATAGCTCAACCAGCTAAGGCGCCAGCCATGTACACCTAAGGTGGCGGGTTCGAATCCCCAGACCGGACCCGCCAAACAACAATGACGGCTGCAACCAAAAAATAGCCGGGCGTTGTGGCGGGCGCCTGTGGTCCCAGCTACTTGGGAGGCGGAGGCAGGAGACTCTCTTGAGCCCAGGAGTTGGAGGTTGCTGTGAGCTGTAATGCCACGGCACTCTACCCAGGGGGACAGCTTGAGGCTCTGTCTCAAAAAAAAAAAAAAAAAACTAAACTTCATAAAAATAAAAAATATATCAAAAAATTGAAAAAAGTCAGCAAAAAAAACAACTATATGAGCAATACGTATAAATACACCAAAGGGAAAATAAAATGGCTAGTTTACAAATAAAGAACTGTTCAGGTTCACTAGCAATCAAAAAAATTTATTTATCAAATGATACAAAAAAAAAACCCTTTGTCTTAGTACATTCAGGCTGCTGTAAGAAAAATACCAGACTGGGTGGCTTAAATAACCTTTATTTCTCACAGTTCTGGAGGCTGGAAAATCTAAGATCAAAGTACCAGCAGCTTCTTTCTATGCCAATGAAATCCACCTTCCTGGTTTGCAGGTGGTTACATAACAGGGAGAGACATCATCTCTCTTCTGACTCCCCTTATAAAGGCAATAATCCCATTCATGTGGGCTCCATCTTATAAAAATCATCATCTTGTGCGTTAGGCCTCAACATATGAACTTTGGGGGAGAGGGGCAAGAACATTCAGTCTATAACCCTCAAGGACAATACAAATTTAAGTTGGGCACTCTGATTTACTGGCAAAAGCATTAAAATAGATTTCCGCAAAGCAAGTTGGTAACAGACATCAATAATTTTCTATTTCAATCTTTGACCCAGTGGTTCCCTTTTGAAAATCTAAGAAAATAATCATACATGTTGACAAACATTTCTGCCCAATTTTGTTCAAGAATATTATTTACAATATCCCAATATTGAAAACAACTTAAATGTCCAATATTAGGGAAATGGTCATGAAAGTATCATAAATCCATAAGAAAAGATACCATGGAAACATAAAAGGTACATTCATAAATTATCTGTAATAGCATGAAAAGTATTTAACGTTAGCTTTAAAAAGCAAGATATGAGATTTTACATAAAGTGTAACTATTTACAGATAAAAATGCATAGAAATGACTGAGAGAGAATGGTTCAAAATATTAACAGTAGTTGCCTGTGGGCGGTAGCATTATGGTTTGTCTCTTGATGTTTTTCTGTATGTCCTAAATTTTCTACAATTGCCATGAATTAATAAACATTGATAATCAGAAAAATGTGGAGCACTGAAAATAGAATTTTAAAGAACATATAATACTCAACTGTGTGTGTGCATGTGTGTGTATGTATATATATATAGATATATGCAGACATATAGGTAGAACCAAATACATATAAATTATTTTACATTTCTACCACTAATTTATTGCTACGCAACCTGGGTCTTTATATGCACATTTAATTTAGTAATTTTAAAAAATCAGGGGTTTATAATTCTGGCCTATTAAGTGTTTGATTTGTCTTAAGAGATCAGTATGAAAGGACACTTAGAAGCTACTTTACTTTAGGGTTTAGTTAGTTACCAAAGATTTATCAGTTGCTTTTGATCCACCACTTATGGGACAACTCAGCTTACCAAGGACCTCAGAAAGTGGCAGGGAAGGCAGGACACAATGGGGCCAAGTCCACCTTAGGATACAGAAGCTGCACAGTAAAGGGGGAGTAGAGAATGGCAAATCTCCTCCATTTAGGGAAAATAAAAACATTTCAAGATAAAAATAATTTAGAACTGAAAAAGACAAGAAAAAAAAGCATAACTCTTAATAACAAGGAGGTTGTTTAACCATTTCTTAAAAATAAAAGAAGTAGGAAAAAATAGTACCAGATAAGAGAATAAAAGAAACACAGAAAAAGGGATAAAAATGATTAATCAAACTGACCGCTATGGCTAGCAGTTTGTTAGTAACTTCTGTAGCCGTGCCAATATGATAACATTCAAGAACATGTCAGCACTTGTTTGAAACAATATGTGAAGAAATATCTGTTTTCTTAATATTTAACCAATAGGTTTTGGTATATTTTTGTGTTTTAAAAGATGTAAAAGGCTAAAGCATATACACAAAAACATATCACACACATTTTATCCTATTTTAGGCACCAAAGTGTTTAAAACAGAACTTGGGGTGTTGCAAATAAACTTAGGACCAAGGCAGCACTGATGAGTACCAAAACTTCACAGTCTACAGAAAACAGGAGTCCCCTCTCACCCAAATCAAATTCTCTACTGAACTTTAGGAAGCATTATAAGATTAACCTTCATGGGAAAGTCTGTGTTATCTATTTTGCGTTTTTCAGTATCTAACCATTACAGTGATAAATGCTTCACATAACAACTAAATACTCATATGAGAAAGCTGAGAAGTTTTAGTCTTTATGTTGGTTTAGCATTTCTCAAACTTGGTACAACCATAACAATGTTTAGGAAGCCCACGTATCCCTTTGCAATTATTTTCTTACTATTTCACTTTTTATAACTTGAAATAACTATAGACTTGTCCTAAGCAATAGAAAAATACCAGTTTAATGTGCTAAACTTTAGATTACATATTAAAACACTTAAATATGTTTAAATGAATCTGTGCCCATAAGCCACCTAAAAACAGTATTTATACATGATACATGTGGTAAGGTGTACCACCCACTGGAAAATACAGTCCAATCCCAATTCCTTTAACAAAGTAAATTTTAAAGAATGTACTTTGAAACTGTTCATAAATATGTCAAAATTCCAAGCTCTTGTGTCCAAGGCAATTAGGAAAACTCCGTATCTTAAAAATTTCTTATAACTAAAAATCCTAAAATGCTTGGTTTACTGTACAGGCATTACATGCCATAAAAACAAAAATTTGCAAGAAAATAATCTCCTGTTAATGAACAGCAGGCTACATCTGTATACACCTAGTTCACAGGACTTAAAGGAAGCCAGTCTACAGAACCTTTGCCACCACTTGATGGTTTATCACCTGTTTTCTTGTCAGACTTACGTAATTCTTACGTACTCTAACTTTCAAATATGTATATTTTTTCTCCCACAGACATTCTTACTCCATTTTTTATTTCACATGCATTTCTGTTCTTTGTTCCCCTTGCCTCATATAGCAGGTGCTATGCTTATGGAATAAATGTTTATGGAATGGGACAAAATAGATACAAACCAAACCTTATAACCATAACAAATTGTGTATTTTTTTCAAACAAAAGATATTTTTATTTTAAGTTTGGATTTCCTTAAAAGTGAGAATTTTCTCAAACATTTTTATCCATTCTGGGAAATGTACAACAATTAGAAAAGTGTATGTCATAGTAATTTTTCTTAGATGTCTTTCAAAATCTTAAACACAGGTATCTTGGAATAGCTTAAAGAGTATAACCTGAAGATTATGGAATTTCATAAATTAGCCTTTAATAAATTGTACAAAGTATTTTAATAAAAAAAAACTTATGTTTTCTGAAGACAATGGTATTTGTTATTCCCATCCTACAAGACTCTCACGAAAATAAAACATTTCAAATAGCAAAGGAGAAAAAAAAATCAGGTGAAAAGGAAGAAAAGAAAGAAGAGAAAACTTCAAATTCACAGCATGTGAATTACTTTTGGACTCTCTTCCTGGTTCTTGAACCTTTAAAAAAAAAAAGAAAGAAAGAAATTTAAATCATTAGTCAGTAATTTATAATCAAAGAGATTCAAATCATTAATCAGTAATATATAAATAGAATAGAAATATTCCTATATATAGTTAATATTTAAAAATCTTAGTGACTCTGATGGTTAGCAGAGATGAAATTTGCATACAAAGATACAACTGTTAAACCCTGAAAATCTTTGAAAATTATCAATTTTTAGTATGTCAAAAAATACACTAAAATATCTTCTAGTCTATAGCCATATAAAATACTGATAACAAAATATTTCTCCCCAAAATTTGTATTGTAAAATTTAAAACACTAACACCAAAAGTCAATAATAATAAAATAAGCACTTCCTCCTTGGGGGGAAGCAACAAGGTTATACGTATTAGGAAAAGCAGGGAATTTTATTCTAAGTGAGTTGCTTTATAAAGCCTAGTACCTATACTCTTTAGGCAGGAGAGCACAAGGCTATTCTAACATGGAAAGTCTTTTCCACTTGGAATAATACAGACCCCAACTGAGCAGCCTCCTAGAAAAGTATCACATCTGAATCTGGTCTAGGTCTCTTACTACAGTTCACAGTTCTTCAGTTCTTCTTTCTTTCTTTCTTTTTTTTTTTTGGCTGGGACTGGATTTGAACATGCCACCTCCGGTATATGGGACCAGCTCCCCTATTCCTTGAGCCACAGGTGCCGCCCCTCTTACTACAGTTCTTACCCAACTCTTCTTGGATTGGAATAAATCAGTGGTTCTCTATTGAAAGAACGAGAATTCTGCCTTGCCAAGGGGACTTTTCCCCTAAGCTACCTCCCCCAAGCCACCTCCTACTCTGAGCATAGCAGAGTCAGAAGGATATGCCTGATGCCTAGAACTGGGAAACCAGATGCAGCCATTTCCTTCCCAGAACACCAAAATCACACTGCCAGGAGAGAGACAGGGCACCAAAGAGTGGGACTGTGTGACACCCATAATCAATGACTGAACTAAACAATAAAGAGATAACACTTTTTTTCTGAAAAGTACAAAATATTCTTTGAATCTGGCACAAAATTTCTACCACAAATGTATACTAAATAATATAATACTATAATTATAATACTATAATAAATAGTATCTAAAGGTTTTCTGATTAAAGGTTTATTAACTAGAAGGTTTCTATTTAATTCCCACACAGCACAATTAAAGCAAAGTTTAGACTTACATGAATATCTTTTTTCCTGCCACTCACAATATATATACAGCCTATATAATATACTATGATTGATTTAAATATGTCAGGGTTTTCTTCAATTTTTGTGAAATAGCCTTTTATTAAAATTATCCCATGGGTCTAACACCAGTGCCACCTGTAGCTTGCTGAGCTCCAGCCGAATAAGGGGGGTCAGTAAGGAGGTCTTTATACCGTGGCTCGTACAAAGCAGACTGGCCGCAAATCCACCAGTGGTAAAGCACCCAGGAAGCAACTGGCTACAAAAGCCGCTCGCAAGCGTGCGCCCTCTACTGGAAGGGTGAAGAAACCTCATCGCTACAGGCCTGGTACTGTGACACTCCGTGAAATAAGACATTATCAGAAGTCCACTGAACTTCTGATTCGCAAACTTCCTTTCCAGCATCTGGTGTGAGAAATTACTCAGGACTTTAAGACAGATCTGTGATTCCAGAGTGCAGCTATTGGTGCTTTGCAGGAGGCAAGTGAGGCCTATCTGGTTGGCCTTTTTGAAGACACCAACCTGTGTGCTATCCATGCCAAACATGTAACAATTATGCCAAAAGACATCCAGCCGCTGCATACGTGGAGATCATGCTTAAGAGTCTGCTATGATGGGAAAACATTTCATTACCAAAAAAAAAAAATTTTCTTCTTCCTGTTATTGGTAGTTCTGAACGTTAGATTCCCCCCCCCACCATGGGGTCAAAAGATACTTAAGTATATGATTGCGACTGGAAAAATAGAGGACAAAAATCAGGTATTGGCAGTTCTTCCATTTTCATTTTGTGTGTAAATTTTTAATATAAAATGCAGAGATGTGCAGCAATAAATTTGCGAGTCAAAATGTTCAGTGAACAAGTTTCAGCAGTTCAACTTTATAACAATTATAAATAAACCTGTTAAATTTTTCTGGACAATGCCAGCATTTGGATTTTTTTAAAACAAGTAAATTTCTTATTGACGGCAACTAAATGGTGTTTGTAGCATTTTTATCATACAGTAGATTCCATCCATTCACTATACTTTTCTAACTGAGTTGTCCTACATGCAAGTACATGTTTTTAATGTTGTCTGTCGTCTGTGCTGTTCCTGTAAGTTTGCTATTAAAATACATTAAACTGTAAAAAAATAAATACATAAATAAATAAATAAATAAAATAAAATTATCCCACGGTACTGGGAAGCTGACACAGGAAGATCACTTGAGCTCAGGAGTTTGAGACCAGCCTGATCAATGCAAGACGCCGCCTCTAGTAAAAATAATAAATTAATTAATTAATAAAATAAAATAGAAAAATTAGTTGGGCAATGTGGCAGGCATCTGTAGTCCCAGCTACTCAAGAGGCTGAGGGAGGAGAATCACTTGAGCCCAGGACTATGAGGTTGAGATTGCTGTAAGGTAGGCTAAGGCCATGGCACTGTAGCTGGAGTGACAGAGAGAGAATATCTTAAAAAATGTGTGTGTGTGGCTCGGCGCCTATAGCTCAACTGGCTAAGGCGCCAGCCACGTACACCTAAGGTGGCGGGTTCGAATCCCCAGCCCGGACCCGCCAAACAATGACAGCTGCAACCAAAAAAAAAAAAAAAATAGCCGGGCGTTGTGGCGGGCGCCTATGGTCCCAGCTACTTGGGAGGCAGAGGCAGGAGACTCGCTGGAGCCCAGGAGTTGGAGGTTGCTGTGAGCTGTAATGCCACGGCACTCTGCCCAGGGGGACAGCTTGAGGCTCTGTCTCAAAAAAAAAAAAAAAAAAAAAAAAAGTGTGTGTGTGTGTGTAATTCCATGGTAGATTTTTAGGTTTTTCTTTGAATAATTTTGAAATTAATTCTGCACAGAAAACTGAAAATGTGATAGTGAGATTGATAAAATGGGATATCATAAAATCAAGGCCAATAATCAATACTATAATACACCTCCCTTTCAGTAAATTTTGAAACTATTGCATTAAAGATAAAACTATATCCAACAGCATTATGATTTGAGAATGAGAACAAAGTCCTAATCTGACATTTTATTCTTAAATATCACTGCTGCATTCCCCCTTCAATCTAAAGTTTCTTACTGAAACTAAAAATGTTATCAACATCTGGAATTTATTATATAATCAATCCTAAGCACCATGTACACTTTGCTGCATGTATCAATACCTTCCCTAATAATCAATTCCAATTGTTGCACCAAAAAGCTATCTTCTTGTCTATTTAATTTAAACTGTAACCATTTTCATACTATACTAGTAATGGTAAAAGGTCTAATCATAAATCTAATGAGTATAATTTGACATACAAGTTTGGAATACGCCTATGATCCCAAACAAGTGGGAAATTTATTTGTAGGGTACCCTTAAAAATACCCATTTCTTGATTAATCATGCTTTCCCCAAAAATTCTTTATGAAATAAATAGCAATGATATTTAAGAGTAGAACGTCAAATTAGGATATTAATGAGAATATTATTAAAATACATACAGCTCTACCATTGTTATTTTAGTGTCCTTCAAACATTCAAAAATAATACCAGCAAGAGTGAGTCTTCTTTTTGTTGAACAGGAGAAACAAATTACACTAGCCATAAATATCATGGCTATATTAACTAATTTTTAGCACAATTCTTAAATATTGGCATGGTTTTGAAAAGCCAGACTATGCATGGTTTTTTAAGGCTTCTCATTTTGTGAGGGGGAAAAAATTACTTGAAGCAAATAACCAAATTTTCTCAATTGGTAAAAATTATGCCTTGCATAAAAATAAAAGGATTAGAGGCCTCTGTTCTTCTCGAAAACCACCCCATCACCCCCTCTTTTTCTTTGAGAAAACCTACACAATACACATTTTGAAAGCTTTCAGAATGTGTTCTTACACAATAGACCCCCAACTACTCAAAATGAGTTTAGGTGTATCAAGAAAATTATACACGTTTTTAAAATGGTCCAAATAGATATTAAAGGAAAGTTGCTCCCATTTTGCTAAGCACAGCATTCTGAAAGATCACACAGTGAGAAAAATCTCTTACCATATTGTAAATCATAAATTGTGTTTGGAAATAAAACTGTTAATGAAGAAACTGACATTTCTAAAGCTGCCGTTAGAAGTAACCATTCTTGAAACACATTTATGACACAAAATCTTAAAGCCATAAAAACAGAATTCGCTGAATTGTATTATATATTTCTTAAAAATTAAAGAAAGTTCAAATGTAATAATGTGCCTTCTCCTTCAAGTTACTTTCAACTGATGAATACAAAAACATACATTTAAATGAACCCTTGGCTTTTTCTTTTTTACTAGAAGCAATAATATTTTACCACCTTAGGTAATATTTCTCTCTCATTTATGAATATTTTGATAGTATAATACCTTAACTAGCCTTGTACTTTATGGGAAAAAAATAATTGCAATAGGAAAATAAACAGCATTTAAGTAAAGCACTTCAGAGTCTAATATATGAATAAGAGAGGATCCAATTATGCTTTATCTTCTTAAAAAGTTATGGCAAAAAAATCTGAATTATTCTTAAATTATCAATGAATGTACTCTCTTTTGCCATTAAAAAAATAACAAAAATACTAATATATTTTCTCATGGAAAAAAACACCAATAGAGAATCTTACATTAAAATTTTAGGTACAAAAAAGCATTTTCATAATTATACTAGAATTTACAACCATTTATCTATCAAAACAAATACCTCTAGTGCTCATTAGGCAAAGTTCAGGTAACAAATGACATCCAGGCAGTATAGAGAGACATGAGTCTTCCCCATGCACAGCTGTGACTTCTCCTTAGACTTAATGGGTATCAGCCTTACTAGGACGATGGAGGACTTTTCCTAAACTAAAATCGACAGTTTTTAATTTAAAGGATTTTTATTAAGTAAGAATATTACTCTATCTTTATAAATGCTCCTTCATTTTGTTCCCACTCACTGTCATAGCTGCTGCTGCTAGCCTCTGGCTGAGACATGCTTCGATGTATTGCTCCTTGGGACTCCTCACTTCCTAATAACAAAATGAACAAGACAAGAGAGGAAGGGGGAAAAGACAGTAGCGAATGGAAGGCAGCAGGGAAAAACGAGAGGGACTACTTTAAAACCTTTAGCCCACAGAGTGAAGTTATGTATTCCCTCTTCAGATATCTTAAGCATTCTTTGGGTAAAAGTAAGTAAACCTAAGGATGTTCTATCCACAACAGACAATGGAGAAAATATTAATAAAATCAGAGGTGAGGACAATTCTCTTTCAAAGTTGAATGCTTTGCTTTACACAAACATGCATCAATGCCACTGTCAAAGGGAAGGTAAAATACATCATTGGCCTTATTCAATAGAGTACTTAGGCTTCAATAAAATTTTTAACAAAAATAAGCCTTTTCCATTAGGAACCAAGAAGTATTTCAGGACCAACAAAACAGTAAAAAAACCAAAAGGCAGACAGGAGAGAAATCTAAAAAAAAAAAAAAGAAAAAAAGAAAAGAAAAGAAAGAAAGAAATGTATTGTGGGTAGCACTGAATCAAGTAAATCGTATCTTAGGAAACCTGGAACACACTGACTGGCAGTTTATTAATCATGCCAGACCAAAGTCCCACCTAGTTTTGCCCTTTGCAGACGTTGCCTTTGCTAATGTCATTTCTGAAACTACTCTGAAGTGCTGTCAATGCCAGTTTATAAGCCATCTAAGAAATTACTTGATACCTTGCTTTTTGCTTTAAGAGCTTTGAAAAGTGATAAGTATCCCTTGCCTCCTAACTTGTTCAATGAAAAGGGCTAGGCAGGTGGAATTTGGCAGCTGCTATGGCCTCACGTCTGACTCCTAACATTCACTATCACACCAAAATTAGAAGAGATCAGCATGGGGAAGTGGAAAGAAACTGGCCTGAGACTAAGAGTTCTTGGTCTCTACCTCTAACCTTTTCACAGTGGGTCTATCATTTATTTTGTTTACTTTTTCTTTTAGAGATGGGGTCTCTATGGTACCCAAGCTGGATTTAAACTCCTGGGCTCAATCAAACCTCCCATCTCAGCCTCCTGAGCAGCTGGGACTACAGACGTGCACCAACAGGCCTGGCAGCTCTGTCAAACACTCAGTGTCTTGGGCTCCAAATCTGCAAAATGAGGCTAGCTCCCTAGTCCCTACTTCAGGGTTACTGTATAGAGTAAATAACATGTACATATAAAAAACTGTGATAGACACTATACAAACATAAGATCTTATATGACATTATCTTACATACATAAAATCAAGATGTTATGACCCATACATAGTTAACCCATTATCTAGTGAGAGGAAATGAGATTTGTGTTTATAATGGAACAAGCTAAGCAAAACTGTTCAACTTACGGGTTTGTGTGCCCTCCTCTGTCTGTGTATTTGAGCATTCCATATCTTCAACAGTAGATTCTGGGCTTTCTTCAATATCTTTCTTTCGCTTCTTACATAAAAATTTAGGAGAAAGACAGAGATGTAGTCTGATGGTCAAAAAAGTAAATATACAAACTTACCACATAGTATCTATAAATATACTTAGGTATAGGTATGTTTTGACATACAGGAAGAATATTCACAAGTTTAGGAAAGTGGATGGGAAGGGATAAGGAATAGAAAAAATGGGAGTAAGAGAACTTTCAACAACATAGTCAATCTGGATGGTAGGTATATTTTTCCATCTCCAACTTCGATACTTCATCATTGAAAGCTATGTTTTCGCTATCATGACTGATCATACAGAAACTCCCTTTTAAAGCAAAGTATTTGCAGAAAAAACAAAATAACCTGAAAACAAACAAACAAAAAATCATTCAGAAAATTAACAAAACAAAAAGTTGGTTTTTTGAAAAAATAAATAGATAAGCCTTTAGCCAGACTAAAAACAGAAAAGCAAAATCTCTAGTAACCTCAATCAGAAATGATAAAGGGGAAATAACAACAGATGCCCAGAGAAAGAAGAAATTATCTCTGAATACTACAAGAAACTCTACGCCCAGAAATTTGACAACGTGGAAGAAATGGATCAATACTTGGAATCATACCCTCTCCCTAGATTTAAGCAAAAAAAACCCCCAGATCTCCTGAACAAACCAATTTCAAGCACTGAGATGGAAGAAACAATATAAAATCTTCCAACAAAAAAATGCCCTGGTCCAGATGACTTCACACCAGAATTCTATCAAACCCTCAAAGAATAGCTTATACCCATACTACAGAAACTGAGAAGGAAGGAATGTTCCCCCAACACATTCCATGAAGCAAACATCACTCTGATAATCGAAACCAGGAGAAGACCCAACTAAAAAGGAGAACTTCAGACCAATTTCACTAATGAATATAAATGCAAAAACTCTCTATAAAATACCCAGTAGATTGTAGCTACACATTAAAAACATCACTCATCACAACTGAGTGGATTTCATCCCAGAGATGCAAGGCTGGTTTAACACATGCAAGTCCATAAATATAATTCACCACATCAACAGAAGCAAAAACAAAGACCATATAATTCTCTCAATAGATACAGAGAAAGCATTTGATAAAATTCAACATCCTTTTCTAATTAGAACTCTGAAGAATATAGGCATAGGTGGCACATTCCTTAAACTGATCAAAGCCATCTATGAGAAACCTACAGCCAATATGACACTGAATGGAGTAAAACTGACAGCTTTTCTGCTTAGAACTGGAACTAGACATGGTTGTCCTCTATCACCACTACTATTCAACATAGTGCTGGAAGTTATAGCCAATACAATCAGGCAAGAGAAGGTCATAAAGGGCATCCAAATGGGGGCAGAGTAACTCAAACTCTCTTTCTTTGCTGATGATATGATCTTATACTTAGAGAACCCCAAAGACTCACTCCTGGAAGTGATAAAAAAAATACAGTAATGTCTCAGGATATAAAATCAACATCCACAAATCAGTAGCTTCTGTATATGCCAATAACAGCCAAGATGAGAAGCTAATCAAAGACAATTCCCTTCACAGTAGCTTAAAAAAAAAAAAAAAAGGAAATACCTAGGTATACTAGGAATATACATAACGAAAGAGGTGAAGAACCTCTATTCTTACAAAACCCTAGAAAAAGAAATAGCAGAAGAACATACCATGCTCATGGCTGGGAAGAATCAACATTATTAAAATGTCTATACTTCCCAAAACAAAGTACAGATTCAGTGCAATCACCATTAAAATACCAACATCATACTTTCAAGAACTGGAAAAAATAATTCTTCATTTTGTATAGAGCCAGAAAAAACTCCCTATAGCTAAGGCAATTCTTAGTAATAAAAACAAAGCCAGGGGCATCAGCCTACCAGACTTTCGGCTGTACTACAAGGCCATAGTGATAAAAACAGCATGGTATTGGCACACAAATATAGACATATGGAATCGAATAGAAAACTATGAGATGAAACTAATATCTTACAGCCTGATCTTACCTGATCTTTGATAAGCCAAACAAGAATGTACACTGAGGGACAGAATCCCTATTCGATAAATGGTGTTGGGAGAACTGGATAACCACATGTAAAAGACTGAAACTGGACCTGCACCTTTCTCCACCCACTAAAATTGATTCAAGATGGATAACAGTGAGGCAAGAAACAATAAAAATCCTCAAAGAAAGTGTGGAGAAAACACTTGCAAGTACTGGCCAGGGGAAAGACTTTATGAAGAAGACTACAGAGGCAAGTGCAACAACAATAAGAATAAACAAATGGGACTTAATTAAGCTGAATAGCTTCTGTACAGCTAAGAAGACAACAATCAAAGCAAAGAGACAACCATCAGAATGGAAAAAAATATTTGCATATTATCAAACAGACAAAAGCTTGATAACTAGGATCTACAGAGAACTCAAATTAAGCAACACAAAAAGAGCCAACAATCCCTTACATCAATGGTAAGTGAGATGAATAGAACCTTTCCTAAGGAAGACAGACGAATGGATAACAAACATATTAAAAAAAGCTCTTCATCCCTATCATCAGAGAAATGAGAATCAAAACCACCCTGAGATATCACCTAACCCCAGTGAGAATGGCCCACATCACAAAGTCCAAAAGCTGCAGACGTTGGCGTGGGTGAGGAGAGAAGGGAACACTTTTACACTGCTGGTGGGACTGCAAACTAATACAACCTTTCTGGAAACAAGTATGGAGAATATTCAAAGAACTCAAACTCAAATCTAGCAATCACATTACTGGGCATCCACCCAGAAGAAAAAAAATCATTTTATTATAAGGACAGTTGCACTAGACTGTTTATTACAGCTCAATATACAATTGCCAAATTGTGGAAACAATCTAAATGCCTACCAATCTAGAAATGATTAACAAGCTGTAGTATATGTATACCATGGAATACTATTCAGCCACTAAAAAAGATGGTGACTTTACATCTTTTGTATTAACCTGGATGGAGTTGAAACACATTCTTCTTAGTAAAGCATCACAAGAATGGAGAAGCAAGAATCCAATGTACTCAAAATTGTGATATGATGACAACTGATACTAGTACATGGTGGAGAATGGGAGAATGGGGAGAAGGAAGGAGGGAGGGGGATCACAATTATAAGAGGCAGGACACAATTACAAGAGGGACTTTATCTAACAAATGCAAGCAGTGTAACCTGGCTCTTTGTACCTTCAATGATTCCCCAACAATGATAATTAATAAATAAATAAATGTATTTTACAAACTTGATATCATCACTCAGGCAACATGGGTGGAAGTGCTGGGGAAGAGAATAATCTACTTGATAAATAAATAGCTTTAAAAGTACAAAACTCTCCTAACACCTCAAAAACTATTTGAATTTCTCACCATTTTATTGGACTCTTCCTACTTTTCTAGTGGAATGTTACATAGGAGTTGGTGTTTATATTCTGCAGTTATCCATTTTCTCCAAATGTTTATTTTATCCCTTAATATTACTACATTTTCTAACATAACCAGTCATGTGTAAAGTTTTAAAATTCCTTAACATGTCCCTATATATAGTTAGAAGGACATTAGTAATAAATATAAAACTCTGTTTTTCATAACTTAATCTATATAGTTTTAAAATTAAATGGATTCAAATCCAAATTTTAATTCAAAGTCTGTGTTGCCTAAAGTAGGTTTGTATCATTTAGAAAACAATCTGATATGTCCCAAATTTCAGATTCACAATGCAAAAGAATGTCTTCCTTATATATCCTAACAATTAATAGTAAGTTAAACTTCATCTGAGAAATGTTCCTTGTGCAAGCCATTTTGTATATAGCTAGAAAAGAGGGTAATACCAGCTGACAGCACATTGTTCTTTTTCCTAATGACAACCATGGGTTCTCTTGTAAAGAGAACTACATGGGAATGCTGAACTCTATTCGAGGTACATTATCTTAAAACCTCCAAAGGGTCAGAATTGCTATTACATATGTATTACAATTAATCCCACTGTTTCGAAACATTCTTAAGGTGGCTATGGAAAGATCAGAACTCAGAGATAGCCACTATGTTCTTAAGGAAAATACTTCACGTATATAAAAATAACAACTTGACTAAACCTTAAGAACCTTTAAAGGCATTCATTTAGCAGATTTGTATATGGAGATATTGCTTCTCGAAAACAGATATAAGAGTGGCTATAACTTCATATAACTGATGAGAGAAGGGGAGAGTGCCTTACATCTTTCTTTTCCAAAGTGTTGCTTCATGATTACCATCTAAACCCTGCTGGGCTGAACAGATTGGTTCGATAATTACATACAATAACTGCAGTGGGCAGGTAACCCTCAGCTGGCACAGGGCAGCTCCCCTGTGAGAACTTCCATATGCAAACTGCACTGATGGAGTGCATTAGGTACATCTTTCCTGCCGGTGCACAGGCCTGATTAACGCCAGCCAAGACTCCAAGGTTAGCATGTCAGCAGATTTGTGATGCATTAGGCAGGAATAAACACAGACACTTTTGTTCGTTCAGACCAAAATTAAGGAGGAATATTTCAGTACTATATTGCTTTCCACACAGGAGAGAATGTATTTTCCAGTTTTTGGAGGGCAGATTTTTAAATGCTCATTGTAAAGGGAGCTAGCTATCTAATACATTCTACCCAAGAACATAGTGCATTCATCTTGTTTAAGCTTATTTAATAAAAAGGAGCTTTCTTAATCTCCATTCAGGTAAATTACATAGGAATGAAAATCAGACAGTATTCAACCAACGAAAGAAACACCTGTGCTTTAAGAGGCTGCATTAGGTAAAGCACTGAATTGCATTAATCTACACTTAGCCCCGTATTTCCTGCCCAACTTTTCTGACAACGTATGTGGTTTGGATAGAAAGAGCCAGTGGTCTACAGACCACCAATTAAACAAAACAAAACAAAACCTTTCAAGTTTAAGAGTTTCAAATTATGTTATTCACTTTATAAGGCAGTAAGTAAAATT